CAGGCTCCAGAGCAACAGAGCCTGAACACCAGGACAGAGGCACTGCTTAGAGTGGGATATTGCAAATAGCCTAAGAGCACTATGATTGGGGAAATGATTGCCAAGAAAACCCCACAGCAGTTCAGAAGGCAGGTGGGAAAAAATAAAACAGAAGGGATCAGAAAGCCCCCATTCTATGGGGAGAAACATGCTTTAGAGATCAGAACAGAAGGGATCAGAAAGCATTCTATGGGGAGAAACATGCTTTAGAAGGAAATACTTGAATATACTTGAATACTTCTTCAGAGAGCTCCCGGCACTGCTGCCACAAACCCCTTTTGCTCTGCTGCTTTCAGCCCGGGGAGGCGGTGGGGAGCCCCGCGCTCGCGCTGCCGGCTCAGCCTCACACCGTGTGCCCAGGAGGCAGCCCAGCCCCTCTCGCAGCAGCACCCGCGGCCAAGGCGCCCACAGGGCCCCCTCTGAGGGGGTCTCTGCTCAGCCTCAGCTGAAAGGAGAATCTTTGTGCCCTTTGGAGTTGGTGAAAAGTGCCTTTTTTTAGGCACAGGGTATTTAGGCACTTACAGCCAAGCTGTGGCAGACATTCGATTTGTTCTGTAGTCTAACTCCTCTCTGGAAGCCAAAGCGCAGCACAGAAATAGCTGGGAAAGAGAGAAGCTCTTCTTTTATTTTCAGATCTCTTGAGATTTTTACCCATCCCAAACATTTACACACTGCAGAACTGCCCAGCTGCTTCCTTCACCTGCCCTGTGACTGGCAAGGGAAACACGGGGCAGGCGAGGGGGCTCAAACACAAGGTGAGACAGGAGCTGGAACAGGAGTGAGCCAGCATCAGGACATGTTCCTGTTGTTGGTTAACAGAGAAGTCCGTCTTGATTGCTTGAGAGTGCTTCAAAGGGTAGGAATTTTCTCTCTGAAAAATCCTCATTATAGTCTTCCTGTAGGCAAGGAGAAGGAGGAGGTGGAGGTGGTGTTATGTAGGAAGAGTCATCTTCAAATTCCTCTTTGAATAGTGGAATTATTCTGCCTGCATACTGGGCTCCCTGGAAGCAGCACAGTGTTGATGGATCATCCTCTCCGCTCACAGCACACCTGCAGATGTTATCCCAGCTCTCTGCGCTTGGAAAAGGCTGCCTGTGCTTTTCAACACCTGGCCAGAGGATAAAAGGACTTGACATGGGACCAGTATCACCCTGAAGGGCTTCAGTTTACTGTGTTCACTCAGACAGGACAAGGATCAACCATCCTTTCATAGGCTAGCAAATTCTTGAGATGTGGCTGTTTTGAGTGATTTTCTTATACAACACTGGCTTTGCACCACGTGTTGGTGAAAAACATATTGAGTTGCCCAAGAGGTTAATGCTTCCTTGCCTGATAGGTGATCAACTAGCAAAAGAGTGTGCTGGTGCCCCGGACAGACCAAGAGCTAAGCAGCAGCTTCCCTGCCCTTCCCACACTCCAGTTTGCTCCCTGGCTCCTGCACTCCAGATCCAGAGTGGCACCAGCAGCACTCACCCAGGGACACCAGGTTTGCTGTGCTGCTCTTGCCCAGCATGGACTTCTCAGAAGGCCTCCTCCTCCAGACATCCACCAGCTGCGCCACAGGGTTCTCCCCTCCATGAGGCATGTTCCCTGCAAGCTGAAGGGGCAGAAATATTGCAGATGTCACAGAATGGAGCATGAATGGAAGGAACATTTGGGAGCACGCACAGCAGGACTTTTGTACTGGGCAGCAAGGAGGAGAATCAGCCACATCATTTCCCTCAACTGTGTCTTGCATTTCTCAATGCATTGCTGCCTACAGCTACAGTGATCTTATTTGCCTAGTATAAACTTCACTGCACATTCGTTTCATCAATAGGAAACTCTGCACCTGACCAAGCTATAAGCACAAAGAAAGCCAGGTTAAAGGTGACATTAACATCTCAGAGACAACATAAAGGAAAGAACCACCTGGGTTACTTATTGCTAGGAGAGGGTGGGAAAAGCTTGTGCAGAATGTAATGACTGCCCAGTGACACCGAGGAAACAGCCACAAGTCTGCTATAAAACCTGCTCAGGCATTTTCTTTAGCCCTGACCTTGAGCTGAAAGAAACTAAAATGAAGGAATTACTGTCTAGGTCCTTCTGTATGCCAGCTTTTATCATACCTTTGAGACTGCTTCTGGCTTGCTGTTGAACAGAAAGCACATTATTCTTGAACCAGATCCCCCTGCAGCAGAAGGAGTCAGCTACTCTCACCATTTCCACGTTACTTTCTTAAGCAGCTCAGCATACACTATAGGGATGCAGAACCAAGGCTGAACAAGGACAGGAGTACGAAGAGGGGAGCCAGCTGGTTTGAGATTTGGGCTGCTGGTGGGATTTGCTCTTGTAATTGCTCCTGACAATGTGCATCACAGAAATACACAGGTGACTGCTCTAAGCAAGTCCCTGCTTTGGCCAATTAAAGACCTCGGTGGTCTATGTTTCCTGAGCCGTTACAGGGCTCTGCTCAAACCACAAAGCCAGGGATGGGCAGGAGAAGAAAACAGATTCCAGCTCCAGTTCTGACTGAATCTAGCACTTACTGTTTTGGGCGACAGAGCCACCTGGGCAGAGGGCTGCTCATGGCCACCATCCATGCAGCACTGCAGAAACCCAGCAGGAAACGCAAACAGACTCGAGCAGTCCGGCTGTTCTTCCAGCTTTGAAAGGAGCCGTAGGGGCATGCTGTCTGGGCAAACCACAACAGACCCATCAGCCCTTGGCAAAGCCATTCCTTGAACGAGCTCTTGGCTCAGAAAACCTTTCTGTGAGCAGAGGAAAAGCTGACACTGCTACCAGCCAGGAGAACTTGGCCTGGACACAGGCTCCCGCACTGCGCCCACGGGACCCGCACAGACCCCCTCTGCATCTGTCCTGGTGAGGTTTCCCCTGGCGTGATGCACACCCAGACCACACGTGCTGTCCCTCAGCCCTCACACAGCCCTTTGAAGGGCTGAGCTAGGTTCACAGCACAGAGAATAAACCACAGACACAAAGAATCACAGTCAGATAGCGGATACCTCACAGTTTGGAAATATGATGGAAACATCCTCAGAGGAGGGACACCATCTGCACAACACCTACCACAGCCTTTCAGTCAAGAAAGGAGTAATTTAGTCATGTGCTTCTGGATGCCTTTACACCTACTCCTAGTAACACCTGAGACTATTTTCTGTATTTTCCCCTTATGAGGGCAAAGAAACATAGGCACAGGCAAAGAGACATAGTGGGATGAGTTCAGATTTGATGGACTAAATTGTGTTCTTGAACCTAACCTGCTTAAAAGTGGCACACAGGCCTTTTGAAAAGGGACTAAGGGAACTGGACATGTTCAGCCTGGAAAAAAAGGCAACTTTGGGGAGACCTAACAGCAGCCTTCTGGTACCCACAAGAAGTTACAGAGAAGGCAGAGCCAAGTACCTGACAGAGGTGCACAGCAGAATGAAAGACAGTGATCATAAACTGAAACTGTAGTGGTTCTGATTGCACGTAAGGATATATTGTTAAAAGTATTATTAGGAGTTTTAATCAGTGGCTTCATACCTAAACCAGGAACCCAGAAAGCACCTTGCTTTGGAAATTTCACTAACAAACATCTGGATGTTACCACACTCTTTTGGTGACATATGGCTGCTGCAAACGAGAACACTAACCTCTAGGTCTGAGGGCCTTCAAAAATTAAAATTTAATGCTGAAATGTAAATTTGCAAATCTGCAAATCATTAGAGATATATTATAGGGGGCATTCTTTACAGCTTAGTGTTTATGCGTTAAATTTTAATAATATATTTCAGAAAGGAATTTGCAAGAGGAAAGAAAAAAAAAAAGTATTCTCTAGCGTTAAGTTTACAAAGATCACAGTACACTGAAGTACAGAAGTGACATAAAAGTACTTATAAGTATACCTGGAATTTTTATCTTAATACCTGGTCTGGTTTTAATTTTTATTGGTTTCCTCAGATACTGATTGGTTTGGATTCTTTGTGCATTCTTTTCCTTCAAATCCACCATCACTGGAGCCTAGTGAGCAGAAAAAATATATGTATAATAAATCACAGTTGAACTAATAACTATAATCATCACTATAATATTTTTTTCCTCCCGCCCCAGCTGGCCCCACCAGGACCTGTTGCTTCCCTCCCAGCTCCCAGAAGTTGCCTCATCAGCCTCCATAGCTCTGTGCTGAGATGATATTCTTAAGACTCAGTGGCTGGTTTGAAAAGGACAGGCCTCAAAATGAAAGATGAGCTCTCATGTTTGATACTACAGAAAAGAATGAACCAGTGGAAAGAAACAAAAAGAAGAGGTAACGTGATCAAAGTCAAAAATTAGATGCATGATCTCAGCAACCTTTTGAATTAACATCTATGGCACAACCACATTTGTCAAGGCCACAGTCATTGCAAAGCAAGATAAAAGAAAAACAGAGTTTTCATGAGGGGAATCAGGCAGCACAAAGCCCCCCTAACGATGTGAGAGAGTAGCTAGCCCACTGCTACGACACAACAGCATCAAGATAAAAGGAATGAGGCCAGGAGCACAATTCCCAGCTGACAGATTTAAATCCTGTCCAAGCCAAAAATGGCAGAGACATGCTTTATGTGACAGGATATTTCAGAAAGGAAAGCTTCTCCAAAGGAGTTGTATGAGCAATACTTCGTGCAGGTCCACAATTCTCAAGCAAACAAGATGCTCTGCCTTATTTGAATGTACCTAAAAGCAGTTTAAATATAAGGCAACTTAAAGACAAATATACTCAAACAAGACATGAGAGTTATGGTTTCATGAAAAGTGAGATGCAGAAAAAAGGAAGTAGGAATATACAAGTTTTGAACATAGCTGGGATTAGTCTCTTCCTTACTATGTAGAGAATTGCTTAAAGTTTCTTACATCTCTTCTTGTTCCGTAAATTTCATTCTGGATTTTTTGAGCATAGGCTTATGATCATTTGATCTTATACCAATAATACCCTTGAATTGCTCTTCCTCCCTGAAATCCATCTGTAGAAATAACACGTGTCCTCCGAGAACAGCATCACCTTCTCAATTCTGGTGATGCTGACACTGGTATCAGTGATGCTGCCAAATACTGATGTCAGAACAGTGCTTGAGTCAGCACCAGGTGGAAAGAGAGAAGGATTTAAAGTTGGGGACTGGCATTCCTTCTGGGAGGCTTCTCAATTCTCAACACAAATGTTACAGATTATTTTCAGATCTGGTCACAGATGTCTTGCTGCCAGCCTTTGAACTTAAATTATTTAATTCAATCATCAGTCTTTGAAGTCTTGTCTGTTAGAGAGGTATACTGTGCTTTTACAGATGTGATTACAGATGATCCTCAATGATCATGGTTGAACATTTCACAAAGTCCAGGTGTTTGTACTTGAATTATTCATATGAGGAGAAGCCTGACTTACCTGACAGCTTATCATCACCTCCTGGCCTAGTGTGGGTGCTGGCTTGGCTCTTTATTCTGGTCTTTCTGATAGCACCAGAAATGCAGCGAACAACAGGGATGCTCACAGAAGACAGCTCTGTAGATCTCTTTCCTGGGACCAAGGATCAATCATGATTACAGATTGCACCAGGAAATACAGTTTAAGTTTTGCATCCCTGAAGAAGATGTGGCCAATGAAGCTTTTTTTTGCTGAGTAAGGCTTTCTGGCTCAGAAACTGTGGGCATTTTACTGATGTACCACACAATGGAGAGGGTAGATACCAAATTATTTCTCATGAAGCTTCTTCACAACACTCAAATGAGAAGATAACTTGAAATTACAACAAAGAAAACACAAGAATTTCTTCACAAAAAGAGTACTCATCACTGACAAAGCAAACGTAGAGCATCAAATGCAGTCAGGGCTGTGTTTTACTGCTAAAGGCAGTAATACGCCTTTTATGTCTTTAAACAACAATATGAGCAGGCCTGAGGCTCCAAAGGTCACATCTACTGAAAAAATCCCCAGTGTTACATGCACTTAGAACAAGAAGCGCTGCAGAGATCACCCAGAGGACACTGAGCTCCCTCTCCACAGTAGCTCTGAACATGCAGGCCCTCACTTTCTCACACTGCTGATACAAAGCAGGTACCTTTTGCACTAGCAAGGGACGGGATGACTTTGATTTAGCATGAGGAAAGCCTGGACGCCTGTTCATCAGCTTCAGGCCACCCTCATCTTGCAGCTCCACTATGGTTGCAAACCGCAGCTGTTCAGGGCAAGACTGGCTTAATATCCCATCTTCTTCTGCAAAACTGAACACAAGGCAGAAAGTTTTTTATTGCTGTGGTTCAAGAAGCAAGGCACTAAAGAGAGGAAAGGCTGAAGTCAGCAACTCAGAGTGAGACAGTAATAACAGAATAAAGACTCACATAAGTGTTTTATTATGGGGATTCTGTCCTTATACATAACTTTGGGGACTCTTTTTACACTCACTAGTAGAATTTTTTTTATCCCTTAACCTTGTCAGTCAGGCAGCTTTTAGGCTGGTTGGACCCAAAAAAACCCAGATCTTTATGCTCTTTGGACTAAAGAGAAGAGCAGTACAAGAAATGCTCTTTGCTTGCCTCCTATCTTGTTACACTTCTGCCTTCAGGAATTCC